CTTAACATTAGTCTACATATTCTCCCTACTGCTCTCTAAACATTTCCTTAGGTGTTGACAAGGACAATTTGACTAAAAATCAAGAAGGTTTTTTTAGTTTGTGATCATTTCCTACTTTCTCATGACCTTAATGTTTGATTCAGGGCTGATATTGAAAGGAGAAATTAGATGCTAATCACTCTTAAGAGAACAGGTTGAGCTGCCATCTCATTTTCTTATTTGTTCTTAAAATTTCCTATCTCATGAATTCACAGCTTGTCCAGACTTACCTCCGGTGCAGCTTCCTTGGATGGAATCCTTGGAGGGGGATCATGAGTATGTGGTGTGGGTACAGATGGAGATGCTGCTCTTTTTCTGTGGGAACGTAGCACTGAAAGCAACAGAAAAAGCTATTGAACCAGTCACATGTAGGAGACTAAAGCAGCTAAAAAAATTAAAAACAAACAAACAAAAACAAACTTGAGACAAAAACATCTGATTAGTTCCGGAGAATTGACATGAAATGTTGACCCTTTAACTCCCAGAAGTAATTAACATGCAACTTCTCCCTTAAAATATCCCTATATGATCCAGCAAACATAATGAAAATAATCAAACTTATCAGGTTTAAGAATTTTCATGACTAATTTACAGGGAAATATGTAGAAGTTAAAGGGGAGAATTAACTATCAGATCTTGGGAGTGAAAGGGTTAAATGCCATTGTCAGAAAACTTCCTTGGAAATTCCAATCACTTGTCTGGGGACCCCTGTTAGTTGCCATGGAAACTTCATCTCAAAACCTCCTCAGGACGTTTCTGATTTCATCTTGGTGGAGCACTTGTACACTGCAGTTTTAGAAGAGCCATCTCATACATGTAGCTCCTATAAAAACATCTTTCATAATTATAAATTGAAACAAGTTACCTTCATCATAATCAACTTTATCAAAGTTTGTCTTCCACACCATTACCTGAAAAACATGAACACTTAGTACCTAAGAACTCAATTTTTATTACAAGATCAACTGCTAAAATAAGAACAGGTACGCTTTCTTTCAGCTGAGAAAAATTACAATAATTTGCATTTTACCTGCTCATCTGAACTTCCTGATGCAAAATATTCACCATTTTGTGAGAAAATTACACATGTCGCTGGTCCCTTCAAAATGGAAAAAAAGCAAGATATGTTAAAACATTTCTAAATGCTTTTTATATAAACTTAAATTTATGTAAATCTAAATAAACTTAACTTGATTTATGATATTCATTTATAAAGCAACTGCAACACTAGACATGCTCTAATTGTTCCATTGGTAATTAGATGAGAATAATGTTTTAGATTTGTGCACCGGTTGTAAGAGATTATTTTCCTTGTGTTTACATAGTCTCATATGAAGATGGCAGAATTCTCAAAAGTTTTGCGAACTCTCTAAATAACTGTCTTCCGTTCATTCAACCTCCCTCATGATTAGATGAGGCTGTATAAACACTCAAAAAATCATTTACTGTGTAAGTATGGGATGCATAGAAGAAATCCTATTTGAGAAGAATTCACTTTATCCCATTTAAGACTACAATTTTAATATATTTAGCCATGATGATAATGCATTGAAAATGTGATATAAATATTGTAACTTGATATCATTTTTTTAAAATAAAATTGAAATGAAAAATAATAACAAACTAACTTCTGCTACACCTTGTACAAACCTGATGTCCATGGAGTGTGTAAAACAGTCTTCCTTCCATCAAATCTAATATCTGGAGAAAATATAGTATTTTTGGTTACACACTTTTTCAAATTTCAAAAGTGCACTTTTAATGCACAAGTCAAAGGGGAAGGGGAGAGGGATCAGTAAAATGGGTGTGCTGTAGCCCAAAAGTAATGGATGCAGGCTCAGCCTCATAATTTCAAACTGTATCAAACATAAAATTTGTATCCCAAACTGTGATTATAGAGCAAATAGGCAGGTGACAGGAAGATGAGATGGTGCTTTCTACTGGATACAAAAGTGTTAACAAAGGACAAGGAAGTTCTTTCATATACCCAAGTTAACTTTCGCATCACAGCTGAAACCACCATCCCGTGTTCCTTTTCTTGTTTATTAGTAGGGTAGCAGGGTTAGCCCAGTGGTAAGAGTGCTCACCTCCCTCCACCCTAGCCCCAGGTTGAATTCCTAGAGTGGGTGTCACATGTGGGTTGAGTTTGTAATTGGTTCTTGCCCTTGCTCAGAGGGTTCTTCTCCCTGTACTAAATCCAACATTCCACATTCTAATTCAATCTGGAAACAGTGGACAAGAAGAGCCACTGCATGGAATGTCTGTTGCAAAATTCCCGTTATGTATCATTATTATGTAGTATTATTATTTGCTCCCGAGTCTCCAAAGATGATACTGACCTTAAGTGTTGTATCACTTGAAGCTGATACAAGATAATTTCCAGATGGATGAAATGAAACAGCATTCACAGCATTTGTATGTGCTACAAATTGAAAACAATAGTTCAATTAAAGAACATCGAAGATGATTGTAAAACTCTAACCATAAAAGCTGGTTCAAACAATCTTTGCATCTGCAAATCAATTTGTATACCTTGATAATGCTGAAGTAACTTGTTCATCCTTATGTCCCACACCTTAACAGTACTGTCTGTTCCACCTGCTGCTATGCAAGTGCCATTTGGGTGAAATTCTACTGAGTTTACATATCTAAAAGAAAAGATAGGTTAGGTAAGAAAGAGGAAATAACTTGTGAAAGCTAATTTGTTAAAACTAAATATAACTCCTAAATTCTTTGACTTAATGCTGTTGCACAATTTCCAACAATCTCAAATTCCATTCATCTAAGGTTCAGGTGATATTCTGCAAAAAGCCATGACTTTTTTTGAGGTTGTTCAAAATATGAAAATTAGCCAATCGTGTTACTGGAAACAACTAGAAGGTCCCAACTGATTTCATTTCGAAAAATCAGGGCTCACATACAAGGTAAACAAAGATGACATTTGTAATTCAAATATAATTCATTACTAGCAGGACTGTGCATCTTTGTACAAGTGTCGCCTGTGATAGCAATCGGACAGCACTCATAAAGTTTAACAAATGTAATTTGACGGTCCTTTTCCCTTGTCCCTCCCTTTTATTTTACTTCTCTAAAATTGAGATCATCTCCTTGATGGAAATGTCCCCTTACCTAACCTTCCATTGCTTTAAAAAATACACAATTTCAGTAAATTTTATGCAAAGTATTACATGAAAAAATTATGCACTTCTAAGTAGCTCAAAATGAATGTATTCTCATGTAACACAAATGCAAAGTTGAAACACAGGTGCAAATTACAAATAGTGTGCACATTCTTTCAAATGTTGTTTGTCTTGACTTTCTGTTTTTTTTTTTCATGTACATTTAACAAGTAATAACATGATATCTCTTGCAATTTGGTATTATAAACACTTGTAAATTTTTCAAAGACATACAAATTGCATCTGCCCTACAAGCTCGTGCAATTTTTTGTCTTTAAATTATTTACCTGTGCTAACTAACACCAAATTTCACTTGAAATCATGTCATTACCGATACAAATTGAATTTATCTGGGAGAAGTTGCGCACCCTCCTGGATCATAAAATGTATGAACACATTCTTTGCTTGTTCTGTCCCATATCTTAATCGTCTTGTCATCACTTGCTGATACAATCATTCGCCCATCAGGAGAAAACCTACAAAAATACTGAACTGTTAACATTCACAGTCAAGAGGAACAACTATGAAAAAAATTTGGGCATCTAAATTGCCCACTAAACATACTTTTATCCTACACTAAAGTAGACATCCCCAAAATTCCTTCAGTTGTTTTTTCCTACTCTTCAGTTGAGCAGAGGTGCTTTAATTATAGATTACAGATCCTTCTGCAGCAGTTTATACTCATAATCATTAATTTCGTAATCCTTGCCAAAGCATCTAGTTAATGCACTGGGACTTTAAAAATGCATTATTTGTCACAAACAAGCAGCTGATGGTATGTAATCAAGACCTTTCAAATCAGACATTGAACATATACATTAAGGTACATTATATTCCCTTATCTGATGATCGTTCCTACTAATAATCATGTATTATTTATGACTAATTTCAACTGTGAATGATGTATACCTTGCACATCTAACCCAGTTCATGTGAGCATTGAGAGAAAATTGAAACTTTTGACGATGAACAGTCCACACCTAAAGCAGTAATCATGGTAAAATAATTATCATCAATAGTATAATAATCATGTCAATAACAAATATCAGCATGATAACTTGAAATGTGAAAAGGCGATGCAAGATATCAAATAAAACTTAATAAGTGATCGTGAATGTATATTTTAAGAGGTGATGTCTAAAGACCAGAATGGAAGGCTTTTGGTAAAACTAAAATTATACAGATTAGTGCACTTATTTGACCCCTTTGATGCCCAAGAGTGATTAGTATCTAATTTCTCCTTACAATATCACCCCTGAATCACACATTATGGTCATGAGAATGAAGGAAATGATCACCAACCATAGAAGCTCTTGATTGTTAAACAAATTCTCCTTGTCAACATTGTAGGAAATGTATAGAGAACAGTATAGAGAATGTGAACACTGATCTTAGGGTGTAAAGGGTTCATGGACAGCTGATTCCTAAGACTGAAAACACTTTGATGGTTTAGTGACAACTGTTTATTTCTTTGACTAAAAATAGTTTTATCATATTCCTAGTAAGTTACGCAAGTTTTTATTTGCTTCTTTTTTCATTTAAAAGAGCTTGAAACCAATTTGTAATACATAATTAATTGCATTTTAGTACCTTGACTGTTTTATCATCTGATGCCGTGAGAAGAGATTGTCCATCACCAGAAAAATCCACACTCCTTACCGTTGCTGTATGAGCTTTAAACACTGTGCTTTCTCCTTTTCTTAAAAAGACAGAACAGAAAAATATAAGAAACATTATCCAACTCTTGGGTTCCAATATTCACAGATCAGTAGATTTTAGTGTGAAGTTAAACATGTTCCTGATTTCACTGGCTCCAACTCCAAGCCATAAATAACTCATCCACACAATACACTTATAGGTTCCCTCAAGGAGGAACTTAAAATTGCTCTGAATTACAAGAATATAAATGACGCATAGCAAATACAACTTACACACTAGGAACCCAAAGTCTCACAGTTTTGTCCCTGGATGCTGATGCAATCAGATGCCCTGATGGAGAAAACTTTACCGAAAGTACCGCATCCTGAGAGAGAGTCAACAGGAAACATTTTAAGTCAAAGCCTCTTGCAATATCAGAATAACAGAGCCATGCAGAATCAACAAATTCTTGCACCTCTTCTGCATGATTTTCTGTCATTTAAAGGTGCTGACTTTCTAGAAAAGCAGGTTATCTTCTGACTTTTCTTAATTGCCATGAAAATCTTCCAATGTAGTTCATCTACATTTCAGATAAACCATTGGAAATAAAAGTACCACTATCATATTGAAGGCTAACCAAATTTGTTTCAGCCCCAAAAAAACCAAAACATGCCAAATAAAACTTTGTAGGTGATTATACATATATCAAAATATGACAAACTGTTTTAACTTGTGACTAGGGGTTTGCAGTTTTAGTAGCCAAAAGGAAAGTGTCTCTTGATATGATAGCATACAACCCCCTCCTACCTATATATATGAGGTAGATTTTGCTTGAAATACAGCATAGCGATTATGGTAAATATATTGTGGTATGCAACCGTGCATGGCAGACAATAAAGAGAATTACTAATGAGTTCCTAGGAGTGAGAGGGTTAAAATAGGGGAAGAGACAAAGAAATGATGAAAAAATAAATAATCAAACCTTATGTCCGACAAATCTGTATGCTCGCATATGAGGTTTGAAATGCCAGATCATTAGACTTGAATCCATAGAACCAGTAACTGCCCGTGATAATAAAGTACTCATGTGAAAAATCATAGAATAAATTATAATTATCTTAATCAACTCTTGATTCATGTCAAAAGAATCATGTCTGAACAGACATTGGGGGAAAATTTTGACTTTTTTATCTATTCCTCAGGAGACTATCAAAACTCAGAGCAACTCAACAATAATCGGGTATTTCTGAGCACCGTCAAGAGACTATTTTCATGCCCCTGTTGTGAATAACAAACTCACAAGCCATGTTGCCATGTTCCTGTGTTCCTTTAGTGAACAAGTAACATGGAGCCATATTTTTATGATCATTAAATTCCGAGATCTTGCACCTGATCTAAGAGAGTAGTACAAGATTGACAAGCACCTGAAGTAATCATCGACTGCTTTTACGATCTTAATGAAGATTCCATGATCTTGGCTTATATCAACATGTAACAACCCTTAGCTAGCTTACCCAGCTGTTTCATGTTCGGATTAAAATCCACGCTTGTCACCGTGTCTCTGTGGCCTTTAAAGTGCCTTTCGAGCGTTGGATCTTCCTGCGAAGCAATCGTTAGACAAGTTAGAAAAATCGGATGATCTTAATCTTGCAACCTGGCGAAAGTCTCGAAAATGTGGCAACAACTACCACTTTTGCATCTTTCCGAACCCTCAATTATTTCTCACCCTAGTCCTGCATGCAACTTACCAAACTTGATGCCATCACTACTGCATCAATTTCTAAAACACCTATTTAGTGCTATTTGATAAAAAATGCTCCAAACTTCAAATTAATGCAGTTATCTTCTTTTACTAAATTCAAATATGGCGGCCGTTGTTATTATCCTTACAACATAAACCGCAGTTAAGAGCGGGAGAAATGCGGGCTCATAAACTCCATCATGGCGGCCAAGTTTGAATAATCTTGGACAATTTAAATACCAAGATCAAGCCAACGAAAGCCTTTGAAAATGGATCGAAGAGACCAGTACAAAACTTTAGGTGTTAGTGTGGAGTCTCAGAGAAGTAAACGACGTGACCAGGAGGCAGAAATTCGGAAAGAGAAACGCGAGAAGTTGTTGAGTGCAAAACGAGTTCGTTTCTCTGAAGTTGAAAGTGATTGCGAAGTTGAAGACTTTACGACAGAACAAGTTCAAGAATTAGCCAGGGTGATACAAAAATCAAACGAGAGCAATCTGAAAAACCTAAAAAGTCTAAGGAAAGCGTTTGCACAAGGAAGTGAATTAATAAGCGTTTTTCTTGGAGTCGAAAACAGTGTGAGGGCTTTAGTCGGACACTTGACCGGGAACAACTCACAGTTACAGCATGAAGCTGCTTGGTGCATCACGAACTTGGCAACAGGCGCTCATGAAGATACTATGAAAGTACTAAAAGCATCCGCTGCTTATCTTATCACATATCTTAGCGGACAAAATGTTCAACTGCAAGATCAGTGTGCCTGGGCTTTGGGAAATTTTTCTGGCGATTCTCAGGAATGTAGGGACATTCTGCGAGCGCAGGGGATCATTGTACCAATGGTTAATCTCTTAAAGGTATTGAAGCTTCATTTCTTCTATTTAGCAGTCTAACTTCGTAACCCGAAAGCATGGTAAGGCCAATTATTATCAGAGCAAAAGATTCCAGACTCAGAATGCAGGGATCCCTGACATGGGAGCTAAAGAACGGGGGGGCAGTGACAATTGTCAGGAATGAATGAATGTAGCTAGTAAGTATTGAATGGAAAGGGCAAGATAGAACTCCACTTTGCTCCAGGCAGGGGCTAGACAAGGTTAGATGTAAAAAATGCCCTGTACTTTTATTTATAACAGCTTTCTCTTTCCCTGCTCCTTTCCTGTCCCAATTTACCTTGGTACACATATGATGTCTTGTGCTTAAGAGGCAAGGTTGAAGAGAAATGCTATCTAGCTATTTTTAGCAAATAAATTTTACACTCAGACAGGAAAGAGGTACCAGTATTTCAGCATTATTGATGTAGGAAAACCGTAAGTGTCCAAAGTTTTTATGATTTTCTGTACTTTGTGAATGACTTATTTCTCTTCTGTTCCAGTCACCAATATCCACTGTAGTGCAGTCAGCAGCATTTGCTCTATCCAACCTAGCCAGGGGAGAACAGGGTGTCGCTGAAGAACTGTTACAAGCAGGGATAGCACCTCTGATCATTAGCCTCCTTACTCCTGGAAACAGCTCCACTGATGTTGCTTCAGAAGTAGCTTGGGTATTGTCATACTTGACATCCAAACCTATCTGTGTGCCTCTATTAGTATCAGGAGGAGTTACCAATATTCTTGTTGAATCCTTGAGTTTGCTGGCACAGCAAACTGAACTTGATAGCCAAGCTGTGACACCAATGTTACGAAGCTTAGGTTAGCTTCTTGTTTTTTAAATTGTTGACAACTAATATATTATACAGTATCTGGTCAAAGGTGATGTATGGGAGATGAAACGTAAAGGGTGAAGGTCATTTCATGTTAGGAACTTGTTGCTAGGATCCAGTTTGTGAAGATTATATTTAGCACTTTCATCTTTGTCAGGCAACATGGTTGATGGTTTACATTTCACTATTAGTACCTTGGTTTGCAGTTGTTGGTGTGTTTTGCCTTACTGTCATTGGTGCATTTCAATCCTTAGAAACAAACTTGTAATAACAGGAAAAGCCAGTTTGCCGTAATTGAGGCCAACTTTTTTGAGAAAAACTTGGAAACTGACATAACTTCCATAAACTTTAGTTTACATCAAACCAGATTTTGATTGGAGATTTTTGGCATGCAGATTTTGCCTCAAGTAATGAATACAGCTTATTGATTTTCTAATTCTCTGTGGATCTGCATTATGTCTAGGTAACATTGTTAGTGGACCTGATGAATATGGAATACAAGCAATGCAGAGTGGAAAACTGGTTGGTGCAATGAAATCGTTTCTCCAATCAGTTCACAGGCATATAAAGAAGGAGAGTCTGTGGGTACTGTCCAATTTGACTGCAGGACCAACAGAACACATTGATGTGTTAGTTCAAGGAGGAATATTACCACTTGTTATGGATCTGATGTCATCAACTTATGATATTAAGAAAGAGGTTTGTCAAAAAGTCTCCTTATGTAAGAGGTCTGAGCTCACCTTTTGTCAAAGTGATCATGAAGCAATCTAAATTCATGAAATGGTTCCTAGAGATTGAAACTATTAAGAAGGAGGACATTTTTGTTAAAAATCTCTCAGTCTGCATGTGCACAAAGATTAGTAAATTTAGCAGGCCATATTTTACTGTGACCCACCAAAGGTTTCTTTGAGTGAAATCTTTTCCTTCCATCTAAACCAAGAAATAGAATAAATATCTTACTTACCTCATTTTCTCAGTCTGTACTGTAAGTTTAAGAACCTTGTTTTTTTCTGCTCAGATCTTTGACTTTCATTTTGTGCTTGGCCATAAATCTGAGCAGAAAAAACTTAGTCCCTAACTTTAGTACAGACCTTGAACCTTGTTAGTAAAAGGTAATCTTATGAAGCAAACGTTTATCTCAGTTTGTTTATAGGCCCTTAAGACTAGGAAACACAAAAGTTAAGTTTTGTTACATGACTGCTTAAAAAAGAGGTCACCAAATAAGCATTTTTTCCTCTAAATTTAAGAGCCAAATTTTTTTCTACCTGCCATGATAACCAAAATGGTCACAGCTTTGAAGGTTGCATACCTTGAACTTTGACTTTGTCCTCAGGTACAGATATAGTTTGGTTTATCACTGTATCCAAATGCATGTTTGCTGCTTAAAAGAGAAGAGTGTGGGAGGGTCAGTTGTTAAACAGTATAGCAACACTGCAATAATGGTGTTGCTCATGAAGAAAACAGCAATTATGTGTGGCACTTTAAGTTGCTAGAACTCTGAAAGATCTCTCAAGTCAGTAAACAAAATACTTCATCAAAGTAAAGTGTTATTTTTCTAACCTACAGTGTATTGGCATGGTGACTACCTGCCTTTAAAATGTTTGAAAAACCAGTTTGTCTTTTAATTTTTTTATTTTCCAGGCTGCTATTTGCTTGTGCAATGTTGCACATCATGGTCCTGAATACTTGAAGAGTGTTTTAGATGTTGGAGCCATGGAATCATTCATCAACATTATGAAATCTCCAGACCAAGACACTGTTATTACTGGTCTTCAGTTTGTTGAGATGTCTCTGAGAAATTTCCCTGCATCTAAAGACTTGTTTGAAGCTGGTGAGGGCGTTGCTTGTTTAGAAGCTTTGGAATACAACTGTAATGAAACAATTTGTCAGTACGCAAATGAGCTTCTTGATACTTATTTCATGGAGGAAGGGCCTGAGGAGGGGGACTTTGGTGGGGAAGCAGAGAATAGCGAAAATGATGTGTTGTCATGGAGATGCCAAGACAGTGAGATGACATCATAGTGTGATCTACACTTTTCGGATAAGTTTTTAATGCACATTTCTTGGAGAAGGTTACTTTTCACCAAAGAGATATTCAGACATGAAGCCCAAAAAGAAAAATTGGGCTCTCTGATTATCAAAGGTAGCAGAGGTTGAGTACAATTGCAGTTCAATTTTTGTTAACTCTTTAACAAGTTACCAAGACTAAATTTTTTTCTAACAATATAAAAACAAAATCAAGCAGACAAGTGATGAGAATGAAGAATACTACAATCAAAGAGGATTCTTTGCTGATCCAATATCAATTTATCCAAACTAATTCCACAAGAATTGCATGAGAATAAACAAAAATGCCATCAGTTTAACCTGTAAACAGGCTTTAGCATTTGCGTTTTGCTCACAGCTCCTATTCTGAACACAGCCACCAATTACATCATCAGCAGCCACTTATGGAGAACATTATGGAAACCCCTTTTTTGTTTAACATATATATATTCATAATGGAGATGCTGTTTCATCTTGAGAGAAATTACACCACTGTTTTCCTTTTCACATTGAAGAATATACAGTATTAGTATATACCACACAGGTGAATATAATTTTTTTTGGCACACATGATTGGCTACTTTGGAAGTAAATAGCAGGTACTTTTCACCTCCAAGCAGTGGATGAGATGAAATCGTGCATCAGGAGTTTACTTTCTGACCATTTTGCAGTATATTGAAAGCAAGATAAATTTTGGTATTTGTATGGTATATACTAAAACAGTTTTTTACCTTGCTGTCAGTGAAAGTGGTTGATATTTAATAACCTCACCACTTCATGGCTTGATAAATATCCAACATGATATATTGGATATTTGCCCTTTTGACTTTTTTCTTGACAACTGCCCACGTTCAAAATGTTGGATGATATGTTGGATGATATCCATGATAGTAAAGATTAATAGATCAAAGAGGTGGAAATGAAGTGTGTTCTTAAGTTAGTAGTCTTTTCTCATCTTTTCTAATTTTTAATTTTGACATAATTTACCTTTTTTCAACAACTAAGAAAAACTGTGCTCAATTTTTTAACATAGAATGTTGCTAACAAAATATTCTGGCTATGGTTACTCCTTTTAGAACCTAGTGAATTATTAATTAAATTTCGAAAGCTATTTTGAATTAATTAACAATCTTTGTTTAGCTCACTCTTTGTAAGTGTCTTTTGTTGTTCTTTCCTCATTCTGGATCCATCTTGTGTATTTTGATAGTCATCATTCTCAAGCTTTTATTTTCATTGACAGATGTGTATGGGTAAAGCCAAATCAATTTTCAGCAACAGATGTTCCCTGCCAACTTTACGTTTAGTGTGCAGACGGAACAATAAAATATTTAATCAGTTGTTCGCTGACAAGACCTTTTGTTCAAAATTTGAAATGCCAGTTTTTGAACGTGGGCAGTTGTCAAGAAAAAAGTCAAAAGGGCAAAATTTGCTAAGTGTGGACGACTCCACGAGAAGACTTGATAGAGAAATTATTAAGGGTTTGGATTTAGGAAAATAAATTGTCACCATCTTTTTCTCGGGAGATATCGTCAATAATTTTTCATTACTTATATATTCACAAGCGAAAAGTTACGTGACCAGCTGCATTTGTTAAAAAAAAAAAGCCTAGAAGGAAATTTCACACTTGTATTTAATTTCTGTCTCACTCTCGGAGACCAAAGAGGCAAATAATTGGGCGAGATGAAGATAAAAATGCGTTCTAGGCATCACGCGAAAGAACGGGTCCTCGAGGATGTTCCCCTCCCACAACGAGGCAAGCAATGGCCGAGGACTGGACTCTGCGAGAGAGTCTAGATTTCTTTCGTTTCAATATTTAAGGTTTAATTTTAAAGCCTTATTACAGGATCGCTACACAAGAAATGTGTCAATCTGCTATTTGACCAATGCACTACTCAGGAAATAAATATTCATGCCGTTGCATGGGAAAATTGTCGGCTCATTGTACGAAACCCAGTGACAGGCGGCTGTAAAACTGTCAAACAATCGCGATGATAAGAACTGATGTGCCCTCTGAGTCTAAATTGCAAATTTGACGAAAGAACGAGATGTTACCTTAAAAAAAACGTGGTGTTTAGATAATTTCTCTGTTATGTTAAACTATCTCTGTGAAAATCGACAGTTCTAGCTGTTACATTGACCTCATTTATTTTTCCCGCTTTTTACGAGTCGCTCTTTTCCCTCCCACCCCTCCCTAATTCTAAGCACGATCACTATATCTTTATTTCGCCATTTTTTTAAAATTTTTCCTTTAAGTTGGCTGTTTGCTTGAAATTTCCTGCCCTCATGATTACTCGTTGTTTCTTTTTTTCTTCAACAAACTGTTTTCCACGCCCTTCTTTTTGTTGTGCCAACGAAGGTGACAATTTTACTAGCTATCTCCCCCACGGTGCAGTTTTGCTGCAGAATTTCTATTGCGCATGGTTCCATAAAACAGCTGTACTCAACACAGTTCTCACCTCTATGGAAACCTACTCGAGCTTTGCGAAATACTACAAGACATCATGTTGGAGCGATCGGTAATTTTCAAGACACATTTGGGGATTCTAGAACGTTTCGATTGTAACATCTAATTCTTCCATGGCTTCTAAAGAGCTGGTGTTTGAGAAAAACTCGAGTAGCGACAAAATCAAGGTTTGTTTAGATGGATCTATATCCGTTCTTTATTCTCTGTGCTCCGAACTTTATTAGATATTCAAAGATTCTTGTGTCTGGGGTAGGGATTAAAACTTTTATGAAATATTTTTGTGAACTTTCAAGGTTTATCTTGGACACACTTGAGCGCGTTGTCGCCGTATCGATCGTATTTAAGCGCCAAAATTCGGCTTCCTTGAATCAGCAAAAAGTTGGTTTGGTTACCACAGCAATAGCAAAATGTCGAAGTTTGTTTTGAATTTTTTATCGCAAATCTTTGATGGAGAGTGATATTTCAGCATGAGTATTAGTTTTATGTTATCAAAAGAGGCTGGTCCGACCGAATGCGAGCGAAAGGTCATTGCAAATGATCTGTAACGATGACAACTGTTGTTCGTGCGACTTGAAAACTGTCAGCTCGTGTGGCTTCTGCAGGCTTTCGATAAGTGAAAGATTGCTCATGCATCGAGCAGAAAGCGCTTTAAATGATCATAGAAGTTTCTACCACGAACAAAGCTCTGGTTCAAACCAGTTTAATTGTTTTTGTTGAGAAAATACAGAAAAAATTCAGCGAGGCGATCGCGCGCAGTCTTCGTAAACTAGCTTGCTGTTAATTTCTCACTTTCCCATTGTCCTTACTTCTTGTCACTTTATTACCATGGCAAACATTTGCAAGCAAGAAGGATTATCCACCCGCCCGTAAAATCCCTTCATTCGATTTATGATTCTAAAGAATATTTTTTTCGTGAATGTTATTCATTAAGAGGTGACCTTCGAACAACAGAAGCTGTTCAGTTGAAATTAAAGTGGAGAATAGGTGATTCTCTTACATGCTGCCATCGATTATTCGGCGATTTTTTTTCTCTCTAAATGTTTACTCAAAACATTTTTTCAGTTAACACGCGCATTCAATTTGAATATTTTCATCGACTTTTAGTGGATCGTGTTTAAAAATTTTTCTAAGAGGATCTCGTACATAAGGATCTTAATGAGCTATCGCTCCTTCGGAAGTTGTAATTATCTTTTGCTTAATTCTTAATTGGATTTTTTTCCTTCATTGAATTTTTTTTTCTTGCATGTCTGCTTATAGGATGAGTTGTTTTTTCTTCCGCTTTTTTTAAAAAAAATTCAGGTAAAGTTATCGACATGCATCACAGCATGTTGCCAATACAAGTTAAAATCATAGCTAAACATATCGTGGCATGTAAGTTCTCGGAGATATGATGAACTCCTACACAGATCATGCAATGTTGCGATTATGACGCACGGAGTGGGAATTAAAGTTACGTTTGGAGAACGAGAGACCTAAACATCAAACTTGTAAACAACAAGGATGATTTGTACTAATTGATTGATTGACTGATCAGTACAACTTCTGATATTGGTTATGTGATATCGTTTTGAGGGGTAACAGACGATTGAAGGTTGAAGGCACCTATCAGTAACGTGGTAATGATAACTAAGATATCAAGTATGTAAAGTCATGCTGATATGAAATTATTTCCTTGTGAAGCCTCAAAAAAATATTTTTCAGACACCAGATTATAGAACCTGAAGTCAGTACTACTTAAACTGTATCTGAAGTAACCAAATTAAGAGCATAAACATTTTTGATCCTTGTCAAATATCAGTTACTTTTTGTTATGGTTTCAAAACTATTGATTACGTCAATACCACTTATAAAATTGCCTTCAATGAGATTTTTAATTAACCCTTTTCACTGTAACAGCAATATGCAAATTCTGAGTAATGATCGCTAGACATTTCCTAATGTGTTGACATGGAAAATTTGTTTTTAACAATCAAGAGCTTCTTTAGTTGGTGGTTTCCTTTAATGTGTGATTCAGGGGAAATACTCGAAGACAAAACGAGATGGTTGTCACTCTCAAGGGTCAGACGGTTAAATGTTCCATGTTATTTGAATCAAACCAAGCTGCAATTAAATCCAACCCATTTTCACTTTAGTTTATCATCAATCAAATAAATGTCAAAATTAGGTGTAGTTACTTTTTAAGTGTGAAATTTTTTCTCACATTGCCACCTCATAAAAGACAATATCCTGAGTATGCTTCACCTGGTAACAAATGAACTGGAGTGTTCCTTCAGCTTGGTTGACAACTAAGCAAAAAACCCTTCTGAGATTTTTACAGTAATATAAAAAATCAATTTTTGTCACAGTTATTGTTAAATTACGCAAATTCCTATTATTGATCATGTTGGACATCTTAAATATGGTAATTTTCCATTTTTTATCAAAGTCCAAAATTTAATTCTCTTACTGTTGAGATTACTGTCTCGTTTGTTACCTTGGCTTATGAGATGAACAGGGCACCATCAAGAATGAAATCTATCTTTTGGTTAGAGCAGGACTTAAACCTGAGACCTGCCGTTTATGAGTCCATTGCTCACAATCTTCTGTTGCTAATGACTATTCCACTGGCTGCTGGCTTTTCTCTAGTCTCCTTTATGATGTCACTTTTCATTTATAATTTTTTTTTCTAAAACAACTTTACTGACATTAATGTTACATTTGCCTTTTACCACAGGAAAGTCTTCAAGAAAATCAAGATGCTACAGAGTTGATTTTCAAAAACTGCCAAGCACTTTCTTTAGACAATGTTGAATCTTTCTTGGAAGATATAAACTCTGATTTAGATGCACTCACTATTCACAACTGTCAGTTATTTGATGATGAATGTGCAGCCAAGATCTCAGAACATTGCACAAAGCTCTCAAGAATTTCCTTTACTGGATGCTGTAAGGTGCTCACATCTGTTGGCATTTCTTCATTTATCAAAAACTGTCCAAACCTGAAATGTGTGACTATTATGTCCACAGAGAGTGATGATGATAATGACAGTAATAATAATGATGATGAGAGGAGCTGGACTCTTGGTGATGATCTTTTTGCATCATTTCTTCAAAGAACAGATTTGATTCTGGAACAATTTGCCCTTAGTGGGTTTGAGAATGTTACAACAAATGCTCTGAAGCACTTCTTGGAGCATGTTGGGTCAAATATAAAAGTTTTAGATCTGAGTGAACTTCAAGCAATTACAGATGAAGTTATAGAGAAAGTAGTTGACACCTGCCCAAGTTTAGAGGATGTGTGTTTGAGCCATTGCAAGTTGACTGATCAAGGAATCAATAGATTTTGTGCCAAATGCAGGGCACTTCAATCAGTGAACTTTAGTGGCTGTCAAGACATCACAGATGATTCAGTTATTGCTCTTTCTACAAACTGTTCCTCACTGAGAAAAGTACAGTTAAGTTGGTGTGTGAAATTAACTGAAAAATCATTAGATGCATTGGTAACAAACTGCCAAGACTTGACATTTGTCGACATGTCACAGTGCACAATTAGACATTTACCATTTGAAATTTTAGAGCATTTTTCACTTCAGGAAATCAAAGTTGAAGGATGCAAAGGTCTCAGATGTCCACCTTTAGATATTGCAAACAAAGGACTTGAATCTTGTCGGCAATTTCTGAAGAAGTGTAATTTACAATCCTTGTGTCGAATGACATTCCTTGGAAATCAAGGGAGTGGTAAAACAAGTTTGATGTTGAGTCTTCCCACAATGTCACAGTCAGTTGCTGATACTTCAACAGAAGGGGTTCATGTTGGAACTTGGAGGCCATTTAAGAGTGGCAAAGGTTGGAGATATTTTCCTGTTATAATTTGATTAAGCATTCAAATTTTATTGAAAAAGCCACCATTTTCTATTATCGATAACCCTTTTAATAACTCCCAAGATATGAGTATAAATTCTCCCTTCTAACTGCTACACATTTCCTTGTAAGTTAGCCATGAGAAATTGGTGTTAGATCAAGGTAACAACTTCTAACTGATAAGTTTGAGTATTTTCATTACCTTTTTGCTGGGTAACATACAGATTTTACAAGGAGAAGTTAGATTTTAGTCACTTCTGTGATCCAGGTTTGATCCCCTATCTTGTTATTGCACATACACAAACAGTGCCAGGCTCAGAGTAAGATTCCAGAGAGACGTAATTCTTCTTGCTTGTCCAACTCCAAAATTCTTGAAACATCAGGATCAGGTGTAGATGAATGCTGAAAACCTTAACTCTTTACACCCTAACATAAATATTCCTATATTCTTCTCACTTTAATCTCTCTTTACAAAAAATATGGTGTTACCGAGAAGTCAATTTGTTTGACATTTGGGAGCTTTGTAAATTGGTGATCATTTCCCATAATCTCATGACCTTTACATTTGATCCAAGGGTGACATTGTAAGGAGAAATTAGAAGCCAGTCAACCTCAGGGGTTAGCCCTTTACACCCAGTATGCATATTCTCCAAACTGAACTCCTATTTTAATAGCCTAGTTTTTAAATATGACCTAACTTTGTTACTGGTATTTTGTAAATATTTCAAAATAGTTAGCTCTGTTATTAGTATTTACTGTACAATGTTAGTTCTAAATTGAAAGTTTTGTAACATAAGATGTGTAGTTTTTATCTTATGAATTAACCCTTTCACCCTCAAGAGTGATTAGCATATAATTTCTCATTACAATATCACCCCTTAATCAATCATTCAGGTAATGAGAATAAAGGAAAATGTCACCAATTAGAGAAGCTCTGGATCATGAAACAAATTCTCCTCATCAGCACCTCAGGGAATGTATAGGGAACAGTATGGAGAATATATATACTGATGTTAGGGTGAAAATGGTTCATAAAGACTAGTATTATTATTAGTATTGTTTCATGTAGCAGACACTGGGATGAGCTCAGCTGGATGGGCTACTGAGCTCAAGTAAAGATGTAAAGCATCTTTGTACCTTAAACATGATTTAAGAATTTTTAACATTACAATTATTGTTAGATATGATGATGTCAAAAGGTAGTATAAATTATATTTGTCTAATCTTCAGAGTCCATCGATCTTGGGACAGATATTCAGAAAAAGATGTTGTCACTCACTGTTGATATGTGGGACTGTGGAGGACGAACAGTAAGTTGACATTATAACACTATGAACAGTACAGTAAAGTTAAAAGTGTGAAACAGTTGCTATATTCAAAGGGGGCTTTATTATAAACCATCATGGTTGTATTGAAGAGAATGTCTGAAGTGGTGTAGGGTAGAAAAAAGGCCCCCATTTATTTCTGACATCACCAGATTCTATCCTCAGTTGGAGTTGTACCATGGAGACATTGCCCAGTTATTGAAGTAGACAGTCAATGAAAGGTTTCTATTACTTCCTAAATGATACAAAATTAACATTTTAACTCTTTAACTCCCAGACTTAATTTGTAATTCTCCTTACTGTCAGCTGTACAATTCTTATAATGTTAGTTCAGAGAATTTAATATTGGATCAACTAATTATCCGCAAATTGATAGTTTTCTTTATTCTTATCACTTGGCTGGTTAATTTTGTATTGATATTGTAAGGAGAAATTCTCTCTTAGTCACTCATGGTAGTTAAAGGGTTAAACATTTTTTTTTAATCTTTTGTGTGTTCCTTTTTTTCTGCAGTGTCTTCAAGGTGTCCATCCACTCTTTCTTTGTGAGCAGGCATTGTATGCCATTGTGTTTGATATTCATGATCCATTTAAACTGGAATCTGTTGTATCATGGATGTTACTCATGCGATCAAAGGTTAGGACTTTGATAATTGTCTGTACTACTTCTTGTGTGACAAATTTTTAAAATAACATCATGATACACAAAGTTCAACTTATATGAACTCTCTTTTAGGCACCCACTTCACCATTTATTGTGGTTGGAACACATGCTGACGATGCTGATGATCGGCAAGAGCTTAGCAAGCAAGTGATCCAGGCTGTCAAGAAGGCAGACTCCCAATGCCGACAAGAATACCAAGCTGAAATAGACACGTTGAGGTAAATGGTGGTTGTGTTAAAAATTTGTTTTCTCTGCAGATTATTTGGAAACAATAGCAAACATATAATGTGCTCAAAACCATCAAAATTTCCTGTTCTTGGCTAATAGAAATTAAAAAGTTAACAAAAACTGAATATTGCTAACCACAGGTAACAAGATGAGAAGCTTATTGCAGACAAAATGTAAGCATCAGTGAGAGCATTTTCCATAATGTCAGCATGGATAAGACCTATTTTTCTCATAAAATAACTGCAAAGCACAAATAAAGCCATTTTGAAAGATGTAATATTACATTTAATTATTAACTCAAATAGCAATCTAAATTATTTTCATTCTTATGTCAGGGATCTAGGACAGGAGAAATGTGTGGAGTCAAGAGTAAACAGACTGCAAAACTTGGTTGAAAACTGGTCCAAACTACCAGAAAATGTGTACTTTGTTAGTACATTGAAGGGAAAAGTAAGGAAATGTTGTTTTCCTGTAGAAGAAAAGTTTACTTTGTGTACATTGTTTTGCCAGCATATAAGTAAATCAGGCTGCATATGATCAGAAATTTTGAGAAGGCTAATTTTTTTGTGTGATAAAAAATTTGTTCAAATCAACCAATTAGTTACAGATTGTACTTTTTTTTCTGCTCTATGTTGAACTAAATCTCAATTTTTTTTTATCTAATCCAGTGAGTTTACTATTTCTCCTTCTTAGGGCATGCTAGAACTTCAGCATGCAATTAGTGAAACGCTGCTGGATGGCCAGCTGTTTCCACACCTGGCAGAAGAGATCAGCAACAGTATTGTATACCTCTACAGTTCAATTCTTCAGTTGCGTGAAAACAATTCAGTGCTGCTGTCTTGGGATCACTACCTTCAGGTAGCATCAGATGCAGGGGTCACAGATGCTGACATTGAACAAACCACAGCTGTGTTAGAGTATAAGGTAGTAATGGAATAAAAAAATGTATTACTTTAAATTGAAATGCTTTGGCTAAATGTTGAATTCAATTCATTTTCAAGTCAGTTATGGTGACTTAGCAGTAAACTTTATATTTTGCTGAAGCCTTTTGTTGAAGGCAGTACGTGGTTAAAAGCTCCCTCTTTCCCTGTTGTCACTAATAACATGATTGGCGTTATGGCAGTATGTGGTTAAAAGCTCCCTCTTTCCCTGTTGTCACCAATAACATGGTTGGCGTTATGGCAGTATGTGGTTACAAGCTTCCTCTTTCCCTGTTGTCACCAATAACATGGTTGGCGTTATGGCAGTATGTGGTTAAAAGCTCCCTCTTTCCCTGTTGTCATCAATAACATGGTTGGCGTTATGGCAGTATGTGGTTAAAAGCTCCCTCTTTCCCTGTTGTCACCAATAACATGGTTGGCGTTGTGGCAGTATGTGGTTAAAAGCTCCCTCTTTCTCTGTTGTCACTAATAACATGGCTGGCGTTATGCCAGTATAACCTAATGACATGCATCCTCCTCTCCTCTCCCCTCCCCTCCCCTCCCCTCCCCCCACTTTTCTGGCACACTCAAACCAGGAGTCAGTCTTCTGAGACACAGTTAATCAATCTGTGGAAATTAAATGAAAGCAGGGAGGGCCACAAGGGAGTGCAACGGAAAGGAAATTTAAATGCTTGCTAAGCACAACTCAAAAATTAGTTGAGACGCTTTGGAAGCATTTATCACATACCAAACTAAGCAGTCAGGGACCAAAATGAAGGTGGAGGGGGGGGAGGGGTTAGTTCCCACCCTTTTCACTCACAAATTTCCATCACAAATTTTCGATGACAAATTTGTCATCGGTCTAATTTTCTGTTTGTTTTCAGTGAGTTATTAATAATTACTGCACTTTATTTTTTTAAAATGTATTTGACAGGGTTGCATTCTAGTTCTCAACATCCCATCGTCTCAGCACACCCAGGGTCCTTCCAAGATTGTCTGTGTGAACCCAAGTGCTCTTTTGAACTGCATGGCAGGGGTCCTCTGTGAAACAGACCCACGTGAGTATGTACCTCAGTTTGTCAAGGCTGGAAAAGTTGAGAAGTTCTGGCCAACCGGCGCCCGGCCTAATGAATGGACACTGAGAGCAGCCATTGATGATATTGTAACTAAAGGACTCGTGCGGGAGTCTGTGGTACCCTTATGTTTCCAGGTGAGATGAGAAAGCAGCAGCAGCTAGCAGTTAGAGAGAGAAGAAGGGCGCAACAGAGGAAGGGGTTTTGAGGAAAAGAACCTGTGCAAGCTCAGCTGTAGGGTGCTTTTTGACTTACTTGGGTCGGATCAGGCGTAATTTGGGCGAGCAAGCGCTCAGTATTTTCTTGCTGAAAATCATAGCTGCCATCTTGATTTTTATAGTAGCAAAAGGCTTGGGAGAGAACGAAAATTGTACCCATAGTCACAACGAATGATAGAGGAGGGACTGGCGCCTTTTCCCACCCCTACCCCCCACCATTCATTCTACCTCTAAATCAAATATGCGGGGGCGAACAAACGATCGCGAACTTGTAACGTTAACTCTCCCTGCACTGCAGGCTTCTTCAGGTCTTAAGTCCAACTAAACGTGACTTTTTTTCAATTCCTTTAACGAGTCGTATCATCTTTTATTTGCGGTTTAAATGTCAGATACCATCATTACTGGACGAGGAAGAGCTGCAGAATATTATCTCCTTATTAAGAAGCCTTGGTTTCCTCGTGGAAGGCGCTCCTAAAGGAAATTATGATGTGGAACTTGTCATGTCACAGTACAAATCGTGTTCAGTTTTCAAGAGATATTACGTTCCACTTATGACCAAGCTTCCAGAAGAATTAAAGGTGTGTTGATGAAATTCTCTTTGCCTTTTACCTTTAACACCCAAACATCAATATGCATCTTCTCCGTAATGTTTTCCATGAGTTTCCTGAGGCGCTGACAGGAGAATTTGTGTTTAACAATCAAAAGTTTCTTTAGTGGGTGATCATTTCCTTAAATCTTGTGACGTTAATCTTTGATTCATGGGTGATATTGTAAGGCGAAGTTAGGTGTTGTCACTCTTAACCCTTCATCTCCCAAGATCTCATCATTAATTCTCCTTACTGTCTGCCATATAAATCTTGTGATGTTAGTTTGGAGAATTTGGTATTGGATCAACTAATAATCCCCTAATTGATATTTTTCTTTGTTCTCATCACTTGTTTGCTTGATATTGTATGGATATTGCAAGGAGAAATTCTGCCTTGATCACTCATAGGAGTTAAAGAGTCAGGGTCGAAGGGTTAGAAAGAGGTGAAGAATAGAAAGAATGAATAAACAAGCCTATACCGTGATGTTATTTTGGCACCTAAAAGTAAATTAAATGTTTTATTTCCTCAACATTTAGGATACCACTGTCTGGCCCAGTTCCCCCCCTGACGGCACTATCCAAGTTGGCTGGCGTTACAAATTTCGCGATCTCGTGACTGTTGATTGTACCAAGATGCTAATAGGCGCATGCGCAAACTTGAAGCCCTCTTGTGAAGTCTGTGCCTATTGGAATTCTGGGGTAATTTTAAAAGTTGGTCCCGTGACCGTGCGAATGTCACGGAACAACTCAACTCTGGACGTGATTGGCCGATGTAAAGTGACCAATGGGAGCAAGCAGGCGCTTAACATGATGTGGTTTGTTTTGGCAAAGTTTTTCTACGGCATAGAAACCTTGTTGATGAACTTCAAGGGAGTTTGCCCAATGGTAAGGGAAATGAAACGACAATCTAACGAGTCTCAAAGATTGTAGTTTTCCTGAACTGAAACGGGTAACCAACGGCTTCCCGAGCGGTAATAAATGCCAACCAACGAGATATTTAAAGAACTGAAGAAATTTATTGCAGGTCACCAAAGAATTTTAGATATGTTTTTGTTGCCAGCTGTAGAATTTCTCATGAAACTCAGAGATGATAATTTTGTCCCATTCTCATTACTAGACAGAAAACATCTTTTTTCAATTTGCTACGGATTCCTTGTGAAAAATTGGAGATTTGGAGATTTCGTTTGGATTTTAGAGCATTTACTAGCCTCAGGCCTGCGCGGAAAAGTGGCGCCAAGCGCGAAAAAACCTAGGCGCGCGAAAAAGCTAGATGCGCGACCAGGCGTGCGGAATGGTACCACGAACGACATGCACGGGAAAACTTATGTTTATTCAGAAGTAAAAACAAAGCCAGACTAGATACAGCTTACTTATCGTTTTGTTTTGACAATAACAGGTACTTGTGCCCATTATTGGCTGTAACAGACCAAAGCACAAACCACTGTATGAGCTTGTGAGTGATTACAATTCACAGCTGAGTCATCATACCAACTACCGCTGGTTCATTCCTCCTGCAGGTCAGTTCCATGACTCTTCATGCTTGTTCGTTTAAAAGGACTGAGTTGTTAGGCTTTGAGTAAGATTCAGCGTTTTTGTTTTTTTTGTTTTTTTTCTTCAAAGCTTACCCTTTGAACACAGATTCAATTGCATAAATGAAGATGATAAGGCACTATTGAAAATTACGAGAAAAGGAATAAATTTTGTGTACTGCCGAGTTGAAAGAAAGTTGTGCTTGTATCGGTATTGCGCAATTTGATCGATGATTGATATAAAAACACAAAGTCATAAATCCAGCCAATCAGAACCAAGATCAACCTTACAGGGAACCAATGAGAGCTCAAAGTACAAAACAACCAAATAACCTGTAGCGCGGGAAAACGCGAACGACCATGTTGTCATGGCATCTGATCGGTTAAAACTATGGTGCGTGTTTTTTAAGACCAGTCACCGTACGAAGCGGAGAACAACCAAAATGTCACTCCTGCGTCATCTTGGACACCGGTTGAAAATGCTATACTTTTTCTGGTTTTCTTCAGCTCTGGATGCGGAGGAACACGCAGAAATCCCGTCAGATACTGTTAGTTGGCTGGCAAACATTGCATGTAAGTGTCTCTCTGCTTCTATGCTGCAGTTTTATCACGAAAATCCTTACAAATGACGATATGATATATAATATAATATAATATATAATGACGGCAAAAACTTGTTTTTCAGCGTTTACCAAGCGCATTGTAAGTGATCAGTTTGGAAGCAATTTTCTATTCAGAATATTTCACGATGAACTTCGTTTGATGAGCTTCATGTAATGAACGAGCTCCATTTGTCTCCCATTTCAGGTAAATCCTTGTTGTACATCAGTTATCATGCGGACCAACAACATGAAGTCAAACTTCTAAAGCAGTCTTTAGACTTAGCAGGATTCGATTGCGTGGGGGACTGGATATTAGCGGGAAAGACAGGCCAGGAGCTGAATGAGAAGCGACGGAACCTGATCGCTGGCTCATCATTATTCCTTGCATTTATCACTCCTCAGTAAGTATCCTTGGCAGCCGAGAGAAGATAGCCAATGCCATGCGCATTCGTGAAACCCTAAAATAGGGTGGAGGTCCTCTCGCCCAGGCTTCGCGCCTGCAAGACGCAAATTTACATGAGCACCGCGCCAATACTCAAGGAGAAGAGGGAGAGTGTAAGATAATTTTAGGTGGGGTCTGCCCTCCGGGACAAACACTTTTCTGACTTGTTTGCGACAACATCCGTTCTTATAGTTAGCTAGTTCTAGACAAAAAGTTTGGAAGACTATATATTATTTTTTTTAACTCGAGTGAAGATTGGACGAAAATGTTCGGATACCGCAAATTTGGCAAGGCTTTCTCTTTGAAAAACTGAAACTTTTTAACTGCTAAGATAATTTTTAATGAATGGTGGGATCGAATTGGTTACCAAGGTTACGCTGTTGTGCTGTAAACTTGTTCTGCGCCCCTGTAGTTGCAATGGATAATCGCCTTTTGTCGTTTGGTTTCTTAGCAGTTAAGCTCAGTATGTTCGTCTTTGAGTATTGGCGTTATGGAGATTGCACAAAATGTGTTTGCTCACTCTCTAATAGAACTTATTATCGTGTTGCATCTGTATTTGCTTCGATCGATTTATGAAGTAGAAGAAATGAATACTTCTTAAAAGTCGATTGGTTTAACTTACGATACGCGCGTGAAAATTGTATTCACCTTTGTTGAAAACACATTTGGAGTGATGTACTCGTTTGAATTCAAGAAATCACGTGGAAAGTGAATGACCTTTCAACTTCATCCAGAATTCCATGTTATGCGCAAGACTACCAAACTACGATAACCTTCTTTTTTTGTTTTTCTTCTCTCATGAATTCTGTGAAGCAACTGAAAATTACACAACTTTCTCTCTGCCAATTAACGTTTGAAATTGTAATGATGAATCTAGCTCTGTCTTTTCTCGTGTAAACAAAATGACCATTTTCTCTTCGTGCCGGAGAACAATACAACTTTTAGACGCAATATCGATGTTTAAGACATGTTTTCTTGGGTAAATGCAAATTCCTTTTGAACCATGATAATTTGTTTTGTATTTATGAGTAGAACATTATTACGAATGTGACCGAGCCCACAGGCAATGTTTTATTCTCTCCATCTTTTCGTCCGCAGGTGTACAAACACTTATAAATAGCGGAATTTATAATTTTTCGTGAAACGCGGTTGGTTTAACAAAAGCCTCCATCAGACTAAAAGAAAAAGTTCCTTCGGGATCACATTTAGCTCTCATTAAGCTATTCTAGGATTTTGAGCCTCTTATTTTCAATAGTGGTCTTTTCTAAGTGTTGTCTGTATGCAAATATATTTCGATTGAGGTGTCAGCACGTACATATTGATGAATTTTCCATTTAAAGATCTCCGCACGCGCTGGTTAGAAATGCTGCAATGCCCGCGAAACTCGTGAATAACTACTTTCTGAAATTGGCGATCTAAGCTTCAAGCTGGTGAATTTCCTTTTGTGGAGAAGAAAGCAGGAGAAATTCAACTTGATAAGGATTTTTAAAGCGAGTACAGTTTAATGATAGGATTACACGAAGGTACTGCTCATTTTTTATTCTCCCTCATCGAAATTTTTTTTTATTTCCGTTAATTTTTCCTGCCCATAGTCTAAGTAAACAACAGGAAAATTGTTTAATAATACCTTGGCCTTGGTTTTTTTTTGTCCAGCAAGAGGTGAAATCTCAATCAATTTTGCTTTTCGTTTAACGATATCCCCAATTTTTAAAAATTTTTGTATTCCAAGCGTAAATTTCGATCATTATTTATTTCCATCTCTAAAAAATTAGGCTTTTTATTAGCCATTTCTACATCCCTTCGACTATTTTTCGATCAAATGTTTCTGCAATAGCTTTTGACACTGGTTTTTTTTTTTTTTACTTTACATTAAGACGTTGTGGTTTTTTCTACCGCGACATGCTTTGAGAATACCTTCGATTTTTACGTTGTTATGACGACAAGTCAGAAGCGATGTGTTTTGGTTTCTTTTGTTTTCTTTAATCTACGTACTAATGTGGGAAGCTGTGTATTACTTTATTAGGAGTTTTGATCACTCAGTAGAAATAGTAAAATAGAATAAGATAAACTTCGAAATATGCTGGTAAACTAACCAGTTCGATTTCGCCTCTGTTTGCGAAGTAAATATTCATACATTTCAATTTGTTTTCTCACCATAGAAAATTTTAATAAATTTGCGCGCCTTCTTTATTTTGCGAATCCAAGTTTTTGGTGGAGAAGTTGAGTCTCTCGCTCATTGTTTTTAAAAGTATAAGTGTGAGCATGAATTAAGCACGTTATGATCCCATTTTTACCAAAAATATTTTCTCTTTTTAATAATTAACTTTTGCATCGACCTGAAAGTGACACAATTAGGTCTGTTAAATTCGCAGTGTTGAAAAGTGAACTGGATTTTTCTCGAAGTTGAAACTCCAGGTTTTGATCTGTTCAATAATATTTCATTTGAGTTTTTAACTGCAACGAGTGAAGAAAATTTTTTTGGTATTTTTAATTTTGTTTGGGGTACATTGCCGTCGGAAAGTTTTAGTATAAACAACAGTCGAGTGTTTTCCAGCTGACAGAAAGAATTGTTTATTGGGATGGCAGGCGACTATTGCGGTTGTCATCCGAGTGACGTCACGGAAACCAATCATCTGCTTTTCCAGATGTCTCAAATCTTTAAGACGTTGGTAGAGAAGCGTATCTAAGAAACATTGATCAATTTATTGTGCTTAACATCAGTTAGCTCGCGTACTTACAAATCATTTCATTCGCGAGTTTGAGCGGTGTTTTGCACGCGAAGTGAAATCGTCTCCGATTGAAGAAGCGAAATCCTGTAACAACCAAGGTTAGCGATAAAGAGTAATCTTTCATCACGTACGGTAACTATTATTTAACAATCCTCATGTTCATCTGCTTCATTATAGGAAAAACTCGAAAACATTGTAGCTCTTTTTGGTCTTCTATCGTATTTGCTCAATGTGGCGTTAAAACTACTAGTTGCACGCTCTAATTGTTCCAATTTGTCAAACGAACGATTGAAAGTTCGAACAGACGTGTTATCGTGTCGTCGTTTCGTCCGCGAAATCTTCTCGAGCGTCATATTTTGTTTGATAATCTGCGCAGTTCGTGATCGCTAGATTTCGTGGTTTCCTGAGTTATTTTATTAAGGACTGCTTTCTAGTCAAACCAGACAATTCTTTAACCGAAGGTGTTCTGCAACAATGCTTTTTCCGTCGGGCGATGTGAATTGTTAACAGAAGGTGACTGCCATGTGAAATCCTCGAGACAAAATATTACAAATTTTGATATTTTAACCCACGGCGATTTTTTTCGATTTTTCTACGGAACTGGAGTAACAGCGAGTAAAAATTTTGTTTCCTTTTTCCGAGATTTCAGGGTTTTTTTCGTCTTGAGGATATTTTTAGCAATGTTTACAGCGGCAGAATATGATAACAGTTGCCGCTTGTTGCCGATGAGGGTTCTTTGAAAAATTAACTTTTTGTGTTTACATAGGATTCAATTTTATCTCATCACTCGTTCACTTTAAACTCGATGGTGAAATGGTTTTTTTTTTCGGAAAATTTGTTCGCTTTACTTCGCGCCGCAATCAGGAATAATTAGAGTGATAAATATATTCGTCTGACTCGCAAAAGCTTCAAAGGTAGTAATCCATTTTATACGAGGGTTCTTTAATTACTTTATATCAATTATTTTCACGACCGTTTATGGTTAAGACGGGGTGCCATTTCCGTGTAATTAAAGTCATTTGCAATAGATGAGAAAGAAGAATGAATCGTTCGTTTCCACACCGTAGATTAATGTTAGAATTAAGACAGATCTCATTTGGCTGCTGCCCTATCGTCAAATTAGCAAGAAGAGGTAGATCTGTGTAGCTCCGTTCGTATGGAATAAACGTAACTTGAGTCTTTCTGTAATAGAAAAAAAAATTCTCGCAGAGATCTCTCTTCTTTCGGGATGGAAACACGATATGATTAAATGACGGAGATTCCTTGCATCATCTTAAACAATACTGATCAATGTCCACAGACATGGTTATTTGAGGATCAAAAGCGTTTTTTTTATCGTAGAATATTGAAACAAGCTGTGATTTTCTTTTAGATTTTTCTATGTTTTCATCTAAAATGCAGCTTTTGAAACTTAAATATGAATCCCCGCGGTTCGTCTTTGTATGGAAGACATATTTCTCTAATGAAGTTGAAAAGAACTTTGACCTTTGCTGCAGAATTGGGCAAACGAACTTTCAATATATTGTTTTTCGTTGTTAATTGCTAACAACGTTGTGTTCTTCTTGCCAGTTTGAACGATAGTTAATCATCTTTTTTTGATATATGTCGGCTAGTGAAAGCAGTTCAATCTTCGAATTGTGGTGAAATGTCTTCGTCTTAAGCTTATCTTTTTGATTCATTGATAACCACCGCTGAGCAAAACCACAGGTGGCTCAAGTTTGCCCAGAGAGCCTCCGCAAACATGTTATTGATGCCAGGTCGTTCATAGTTCTTCTGCTATGGAAGGCAAAGCAGAAAAGCCTTACGTGAGCCTAACGGCCGTAAATCAGCCTGGAAAATTTACAAGGTTCAAAGGTACAACCACCGAAACGAGATGGATACTTTTTATTCGATGCGAGTTCAAATTCCAAAGTCAAAAATAGAACCGTTTGTTCCCACAAAAATCAGTTTAATTCGCTCGTTGCTTAATGTTTGTAACTTATTTTTTATTATTTATTATTTATTTATTTATTATTTATTATTTATTTATTATTATTTTTTAGTAGCCTGAGAGAAATCCCTCATTATAAGCGCTGCAGGACGCGCGTTTCTCCGCCCGCGAGAATTGGAGACAAGTCGGGCACTAACAATGAAAACTGTAGCAACTAGAATTTTGCATTTGTTTATTATCAAGAACTGCAAAATTATCTTATATTGTTTTTTTCTTTCTATTCATCAAGTTCGCGTTTTTGCGTGAGGGTACGTAAGGTTTAGGTGACGCCGGTGACCAGAATAAGCGCTGTTTTTGCAACATCATTTTCATTTGCTAGTTGACCTCAACTAGGGAGGTCGTTTCGTTCGCTTTTGCTTACGACGTGGTGCTTTTGTTTGAGAGTCTTTTCTACCGGACCTGGTTACGCCACAAATCGCAAGTTCATTTCTGTTTCATGAAGCATTGTCGTTATTCTCGGTGTTATTATATTTGTACTTAGATATTCGAATTAATTATTTATTTCAGTCGAATTACGTTTACACATTTACACATCATCCATCTTTATATTTGTCTATCTGGGAGTTATTAAACGTGCATTCAAGTTTGGCGTGAACCTGTAATATTTAGCTGCAAGACCCTTGCCGGCCTCATACTTTCCTACAGGCGAAGAGAAACGCTTGTGCTGAAGCGTTTAATAGAGGGTCTCAAAGGGGTGAGCGCTTTTACGTCTAACGATTTACGGCTAACGGTTAACGTCTTTCCATTGTTTCCACCAGACATTTTTTTACGGTTAACTTTTTTTAACGACTGACGATTAAAATTTGTCAATTTTTACGCCTAACGGCTAAATTTTTCGGCCGTTTGATGGCTAACGGGTAACCCCATTGAGAACCTCTTGATAATGAGGGCCTGCCCTTTGGCTAAATTCTCAAACTCTTTGCGGTGGCCAGTTTGCATTTTCAAGTCAAATGATAGAACCAAATCATCTTGCAACACCCTCCATTGACGCAGCACCTCAGTTTCCACAGAAAATTACCCCCTTTTATACTTGTATTAGTTTAGGGGTGGAGCCAACATCGCATGGCCATGAGTGAGCTCGTCGGCGTATAGATCGTTCTAAGAAAAATTGTTAATCCCTAAATTTTCTTTCTATAACTTCAGATATCTTGGCTGGTGTCGTGCATCACAGGAAGTGAACAAGGCCTTGTCTCATACCAAGCCTCTCGTCTCTGTCCTTTTTGATAAATCCACGTGGGACTCTGAGGGGAATGAATTAGGAGCTCTGTTGAAGAACCGCGGAGTGTGCTTGGATTTGAGTGCCGGCTCAGGAAGTGCCCTCTCGCACCAGTACAATCAGGGACAAGTTAACGAGCTTATTAGCCATTGTTACGGGGTGCTTTACGGTACCGGTGACATTCACCCTCCAGAGCCTCCCCGGACCCCGGAACACGAGACACAGGTAAGGTCACGTGCTCGATCACGTGTCATTGAGAAGTTACATATCGGATGGTACGGGAGAGTTCGAGTGACATACATTGCATTCAGACTAAGGTATTAATAGGAAATATTCATAGAGTATCTTTGAAATGTATAGACAATAACAAGAACAGACTACATCATCGGGAGTTACGTTCCATTATCTTTCGCAAAGGACGCACATCCTCCTCAGTTATTCTAAGACCCTGAGTGTTGGTCTGGTCTGGGGCTTGTTTGAAATATGCCAAGCTTTCCCGTCGGAAAATGAACAGCACCGTGTTGCATTTCTAATGACTCTTGATCTTTATCCAGGTTTTAAATAACGCTAATCTGGAATCGTCGACGACTGTCGACATACGAACAGACACGGCAGCCACAAAAGCGAAGAAAAGCGTCGAATTCTCCGACCTCCAAACGACGAAAACGGAAAAAGCCACCAAAGACTGTGAACTTGACGACCAAATCAGGCGCATGGCCGCCAGTGCGGTTGCCGCAGCGATAGCGGGCGCCACGGCGAAGCAAATCGCCAACTCGAAGCATTCTACGCCCGCAATTAAAGCGGCGTCTGCTGCGGCGGAAGTGGCGCAAGCTGTTGTAGATGGTAAAAGTGACGCGGCAGCTCAGGCGGTGACGAAAGTGGCGAAGATAGTCGAAGATGAGACGTCTAGAGTGAACACTACGTCGACTCAAAATGGCTCGGCGACCAGGCCTGCTCCCAAGAGTACGACCTGCGTGTTACTGTAGCGACCAATGAACTGTCCCTGTGCTCCAGATCTTATCTGGTAATTGTGATTGTGAGGATCTAGGTCCGACAGATAGTCGCCATTGCATGAGCTCTTGAAGAATAACTGCTACAAATATAGTGGCAATTTGGAAAATATTAATTAATCGTCGATGGATGAGTTGATGAAAAAGTTTTGCTGTAGATGTGCTGGTAAAGTTTCGTGAAACAGTGAATCTGCGGAGTGCGAAACGTTTTCCGCGTGTAATTTTTGAAATTTTGACTTCGAGAACGGATACGGCGCAGAGCTCTTTTGAGAATATGTTACTTTGACCAGAAACTAAATTTTGGAATAATTTCGTCATAAACAAGATCACTTTGAAATTGCTTCGCTTGTCCGTTTGAAATGTGTGGCAAATTGTAGACTGTCACGAAGACGAATGCTGCGTGACATATAAAGGTCTGTAACACAACCACTAGAGCTCGCAATGTCTACCTGTGCGTGACGCTCAACGAGAGGAGCGATATTTACCGAAAGTAGCATATCTGGCTTCACTGTAAGCGATACAGAGAGTTTATGCAGTGTTCACCAACAATCTGTGGCGAACTTGTTAACCTCAGTCCTCAACAACGATTTTGATATTTTTTAATTTTTCATGTAGAAAGACAATACCGTTAAAAGACTTTAATATCAGGAGAATATAAAGCTTTGTTCTCCTGAAGCGTTATCTAATTTAGGAGCTCGACGTGAGTAACAGGGTTGTAAATTTGTAAATTCACAAATTTAAGATCAAGTTTGTTATTGTGTTTGGTGATTACCGTTCTTCAAAACATGCTTAATCTTTTTTAGCAATCCTCGTTTTGATTTAGCTGTAATTTAACCCTGCAATTTTTAATACAAATTGCAGCCCATTTTCAGTCCCTCTGCTCTTTCCGACGGGTATTTCGTTTCCCGCTCTTTTAAAGCAAGTTTTCCGCCTTGCTATTAAGGCACTCTGTAAATTTTTGTAGAGTCAATAATAAGTCAAATAGGAAAAAGAATGAACAAGATTGACAAAGATTGCAACTAACGAGCTTGGAGAATCAAGACTGCAAGACGGCGCACAACGAGTGACGTAACTCCTTAGGTAACCTTAGAGGGGTGGGGTGTTGATTTCTTGGGGTGTTGTTATCAATGTTCGTTATGTTCATAATCATTTACTGTAGAATTTGTAAACATGCTACACATTCAGTTATTGCAAAGTGGTATTATAAATCAGACGACAGAGAAAAATTTAATATATTGACGACAACATTATACCGCAATTAATTTATTTTATGCATTTTAATAGGTAATAATTTTTGTATAAAGTGAGATGGTATTTACAACCCTTAAATTCTTTCAGCTGGGGATCTTCAGAAGGACAAAATTAAATCGGGTGGTAGTTATACATAATTGTAATTATTCACGATCAGGAGTTAGGGATTATTTTGGTTGGTATCTAAAGGAAAGTTTGGTTTCCAAAACAATGAATGACTTGATAGGAAGTAATGTCGTTTGTCTCACAGGAAGTGGTTACTTTTGGCCTGGATTGCGACGTTTAAACTGCATGCGGTAAGTATTATTCTGGCGATGACGAAGACTGGTTACGTGTCACCTTACGAAGCTCGCCCCTTTGTCATTGGCTGATTATTTCAGCGTGGCGATGTAGTCATCTCCTAGGGAAGTTTGGCAATTAGCAGTCGCGTTCCACGTCATGAGTGACTGCACTGAGAGACAAACTACAGTACTTCACTGCTATTGTGGTCCTGTTCGTTGTTTTAATTTGTTAATATATTTCCAGTTGGAATTTACATTTGGGCAGAAACCAATCGGGTTCTGGGCGGTTACACCTTATCCTATCGATGGTATATTTAACGCATTTCTGTACTAGCATACGTTCCACATGTAAATCCGAATAAAAATCGTTTATAAACCTGATTATTGCAGTCGTGTGTCTTTCATGTCAGGCAGTGATTAATCTGGGTAAAGCAATTCACCATTTTTAACTCGAAGGCCTATTTCCTAATTCCTTCTTTTTTGTAGGACGCGACTATACACAGAGTTAAGCTTTATGAGCTAATTTTTCGAGTGCTGGTCCTTCGTCGGCGCGAATGAGCGAAGCGCTCGAAACGTCAGCTTACAAACTCTTACGGTGGCCTATTTCCATTATCAACTCGATAAAATAACGTTATCTTGTTACACTGCAGCACCAGCGCTTCTTTAGAAACTTACCCCCATTTGTACACAGATAGAGTAGACTTGTGATAAGGCCAAAATAATAATTTGATGCGTGAATTTTATAGAAAGGCGAGCGTGATTCGTGAATTTATGAGCCGGCGTGAAGCGTGACTTACTTCCTGAAATATACGTAACCCGTGAATCATATCAAACTTAGTTCCCATAAGGGCGAGCATTTTCTCTAATTGGGCTGGGATATTACTTAAACGCAGACGACACTCAGTTTTATTTTGCTTTCAAACCCATACCCGGTGAACAACAAGCCTCCATAGCATGCACTGAGGCATGTCTTAGCGAGATTGGTTCATGGAGGGTACAAAATAAGCTTAAAACTTTCACGTCCCGTCTGGTTTAACGAGGTCAATTTCTTTGTCAGTAAGTGATAACGGACTGAAAAAAGCGTCCGGTTTCCGGAAGTGAGGTATTCCGGTTTACTGAGGTTAAAAATAGAGAAAGTGTATGACAGAGATTTTGGGGCCGAAAAAAAGATTCGGTAAAGAGAGGATTCCGATTTCATGAGGGTCCGGTTTAGAGGGGTTCCACTGTATAGCGAAAATAAGAAACTGTTTGTAGAAATCAGACACTGAAATTTTGATCCATGCTTTTATCTCCAGCAAGCTCGACAGCTGTAACTCTACCATATGGACTTCCACAATTCCTACTGGATCGTCTACAAGAGGTACAGAACTTTGCAGCACGATTGATAACAAAAAGCAAGAAGTCGGATCACATAAAACCAGTTCTCAAGGAATTGCACTGGTTCCCTATCAGACAAAGGATAAAGTTTAAACTGCTGTTATTATGGTCTGGCGCCACACAACGCAAAAGACATGTTGCAGCTTTACGAACCAGCAAGAAAACTACGATCAAGTAAATGAAATCTTTTAAAAGTCCCGCCACCTGAAAAAATAAAGCGTTACGGTGGGCGGTCTTTATACGCGCCGCCTCAAAATTATGGAAGTCACTTCCAGATAGAGCAAGACAATGCGACAGTATAAATAATTTAAATAATTTTAAAATCGTCATTAAGACCTTTCTTTTTTAACAAAGCACTTAATTAGAGACATATATATATATATATATATATGTGTGTGTGTGTGTATATTTATGTGATAGAATAGGATCTTTATCATTATTCTTTATACTTTATCTATCCATTAGAATATTTTGATTTCACAAAATTTAATTAGAATTCACATATAGTAGATCTATATACATCATTTTATAAGTTTTTAAATATTTTAAATTTATTTTTTATAATTATTATCATTATTTTTAGCGATAGATATGGGCCTCGCATGAGATTCATATGTTTTTAATAGTGCCTAATATGATATTCTTAAATCATGTATTTATATATTTGTTTATCATAAGTAGGTTAGATTTACTTTTCTATTTCTTTTTTTATTGTTATTGTTATTATTATTATTATTATTACTTATGGAACTACTTACTTGCTAATACTGCATGTAAACGAAGGTAACGAATGGCCGAAATGTCCTGTTTTTGGACCCTCTGATCCTTCTCCCAAAGCTTTTACGGATCCGCCGAAGACCAGGAGCAAAACCAGCGAGAGTACTCCAACTTGAGCGGCCATTTATCCCATCTAAATCGGTCGCAAACTAGACGAATTACATACCAAAATAAAGCGAATTTCTTTCTCCATTCGTATGTGGCGGTATAATTGAGATTTGAACATGCGCGAAAGAACTAGGACCCATTCTTACGCGCTAACCGTGATACGACACTTTGAACGCCTTCGAAAATTGCGTTATCGTAATTTTAAAAAATGAATTTTGACCCATTAAATCCTAAAGCTTTGGTGCTTCAAAATAACTCTAAAGTAGTTTTAATATTTTTCTTTAAATTTTGTTAGTAAAATTAATCACTATCAAAACTTCTCTTAGTTATCGAGCCAAAGGTTCCAAATTTTTTGTGTTCTTCATTCAGACAGTGGTGGGGACGTGGTCGCCGAGACTTAACCCTTTAACTCCCATGAGTGACCAAGACAGAATTTCTCCTTACAATATCAATATAATATCAACCAGTTTAGTGATGAGAATAACGAAAAATTTTGGGATAATTAGTTGATCCAATGCTAAATTCTCTGAACTAACATTATAAGAATTGTATGGTTGATAGTAAGGAGAATTACAAATTTGATCTGGGAGTTAAAGGGTTAAAATGGGCTTTTATTAACGGTAAGTTTAACATGTTTTCTTTAATGTCGTCACAACCTCGAGATTTTCCTGAAACCTTGCACACAAGAAGAGGGATTTGGAGTTTTCGTGACGCGTGAATCGCTGTTTGAAGTGTACAAGACGCGATAATTTTTGTCCAAAATAGAGCGTAAAAGTGGATCAGGAACCCATCATCCACCACTCCCCACACCTTTTCCTAAATAAAAAATTTTAAAAAAAAACTCGTCTGGCATGCTTCAGTGTTAGTGGTATGTTTAAGTTTGAGCGCGCTTAAGATTTTTTTTCAGATTTGTTTCAGATTTGTTTCAGATTTGTTTCAGATTTGTTTCAGATTTGTTCCAGATTTGTTTCAGATTTTTTTCAGATTTGTTTCAGATTTGTTTCATTTTTCAAGCCGTTACAAGTTAACCTCACTCCTTTTCAAGGAGAGACCTAAAGGTCATTTCTGGCTAAGTGATAATCTTAAATATGTGGAATTGTTGTTTGTTAAACTAAAAACCACTGCAGGGATGATGTGTACGAAAGGAACTTTGATGCTGATTTTAAATGTACTCGTCTTTGTCTTTGTTATATCAAGCCAATCGACAGCAGGTAAGAGACACTTTATGTGTTATCCTTTGCACAAATTTTACATGTTGATAAGGCACCCTCTTAATTGCATCAAAAATATGCTACGAAGGAAGACAAACTAAAGAATCCAATGTAGTCAGCGCCGTTTGGCTTTTGAGTTTTAAGTTCAAGGCCGGGTTTGAATAAAAGCCGGACCTAATTTACAAGTCCTTCTGGAACCCCGTACTTTCAAGTGCGCTTTTCTGGCGAAATTTTCCGCTTACATTTGTATTGAAGCTCTGATGCATGGCGCCTTTCGTTCCATCATTCTGCGTCGTATACAGCTATGAAAAATAGGACAACAAGCTGGTGATGACCACGGCCAAATTTTGCATAAACTTGCTATAACCTATTTTTAAATTGTTGGCTTTTCTAGATCTAGTCAAATACTACCTTAGCTTTGCCTTTTTGATGCGCTCGATTCCAAACAGGAACATAATTTCATTAATTGCTGTACTAATGAGGCCTTCGAAGGGGGTTTTTGATGTCGCCTAATTGTTTACAAACACCCCTGTGACCTATTTGGTTAGGGACAAATGTCGCTGTCGCTTTTTGTTAGAATAAAAATATCGCTGTCGCACTGTCATAAATTATGTAATGTAATGTTATGTTGTAACACGCACTGAATTTGGCAATATATTAATTTTGACGTCACTTGTTGACAAGCCGATCACACATAAGTTAGAAACTTGTGGAATTCTTGTTGACTAAGTAATCCAGAATCTAACAGGCAGCCGTTTTGCAATGTGTCGCAATTATTTTTTTCAGTGTCTTTGGGGAACTAAATATCCTAGTTTGAAATCTGTTTAAACCCTAACAACAACATGTAGCAAATCAACTTGGCTAGTTTACACATTGATGCTTTTATTATTTGCTACAACAGTCTTACACAAGCTGAATTTCTATCTAATATTTTCATACCAATATTAGGCGCAAATATCCGGTTGCGCCATTTTACATTTTTATTAGACAATCAACGCATTGACTGGTCAAAAAATATTCTCTCTTCCTAATCGAATTACTTGTAGTCGTCACGAGGAATAGAGTTGTAAAGGTAACCGTGCATTGCAGGAAATGAGGAACTGATGAACGCGCTAGAGATCTAAGAATTTAGGCGAAGAACTTTTTTTCAACAGCAAGGTTTCAAAAAGCAAAATCGAAAGGAGTTTTGATGCTATTTTTAACTTTAATCGTCTTCTTCGTTATACCAAGTAAATCGACTGCAGGTAAGAGAGACTTTGGTAGTCATCCTTTGCACAGAGTCAATTAAGAATCCGCGATCATCCGAGACGGGCGAGACAACGGGTGGTTATGTTATCTTAAAGTAATAGAGCTTCGTTAAAGTTATCAATGAGCTGTTTTTACATTTCGACACTTGCATGGATAACATGACTCCTTAGCATCACAGACATTTTGAGAGACAAATGTACATGTTGAGAAGGCACCTTCTTAATTGCATCAAAGTATGCTAGGAAGGAAGAAAAACTAAAGAATTCAATGTAGTCAGCGTTTGGCTTTTGAGTTTCAAGTTCAACGCCAGGCTTTGTGCTTTCAAGTGCGTCTTCCTGGCGAAATTTTCCGCTGATGCATGGCGCCTTTCGCTCAATCATTCGTGCGTCATATAGCTATGGAGAACAAGACAACAAGCCGGTGATACCTATGGCCAAATTTGGCGGAAACTCGCTATAACCTCTTTTCAAATCGTTAGCTTTTCTAGTTCTAGTCGAATACTACCCTAGCATTGCCTCTTTGATGTGCTCAATTCTAAACAGGGACACAAATTCATTAATTGTTGCACTAATGAGGCCTTCGAAGGAGGTTTTTGATGTCGCCTAATTGTTTATAAACACTCCTGTGTCCTATTTGGTTAAAGACAAATGTCGCTGTCGCTGTCGCGTTTTGTTAGAATAGAAATGTCGCTGTCGTACTAAATTTTGCAATAGAGTAATTTCTGACGTTATTAATTGACAAGCCGATCGCAAGACAACGCACAATTGTAAAGGTTACCATGTATTGCATGAAATGAGGAAGTGATGGACGCGATGGAGATCAAAGAATTTAGGCGAAGAAATTTTTTCAGCAGCAAAGTTTCAAAAAGCAAAATCCACCGTATGGAACATTTATTCATCTGAAAGAGCATTTGCTAAATTCGAGTGTTATTGACCTAATACGGGGACACAGTACACTTTCGAAAATCAGTCAAAATAGAGCTTTGCCTAGAACTGAGGACAGGTCTGAAATAAGATTTCTTTTTTGAGCGATTCTTTGAAGTCCGCTATTGACTTTCACGTAGGTGTCTACCGTCCGCGTCGGTAGGGGAGTATAACAAGATAATTTCAGTTTTATCAACTGATTTGATAATGGAAATTGGCAACCGTAAAGAGATTAGGAGAGATAGAGAGATTCAAAGCTGGCGTTCATCAGAGCGAGTGGCGAAAGGCTAATGCCCGAAACGTCAGGTTTGAAACTCTTTACGGTGGCCAATTTCCATTATCAACTCAGTTGATAAAACCAAAATTCATCTGTAAAAGGCCTTCATGTTATTTCATATAAAACAATAGTCAATTGAGTATCAAAAGTAATCCGGGATCGCTTTGGTTTTACTGCACTTTAATCTGCGATTGGTCCAGAAATCTAACACCATCCTGTCGACCAATCAGATGCAAAACTAAAAACAACCGCGACTTGGTCATTCGCGTTTTCCAGTTAGCAAATGATGATGTAGACCCCTTTTTCTGATTGGTTGCAGCGATTACTTTGGTTTTGGGTTTTTTGACACTCAATTGAAAACTGCCCTATAAGGTGCGAATCGCCACACAGCCTATATATGTATGGTCAAATTTTAAAAGCGGTTGTACCCAGTCCCTTACTCGTTTAGACCATGATCATAAATGAACCATTTCGTAGTAATACTTTTCTTTGATTTCAGAAGCTTCGCTGATCTCCAACTACGACATCATGCGATTGGGGAGAGGGGGGCGGCTTTGAGATAGAAAACATGGCTTCCAGGGGGGCATCAGTTTATAAAGGGGGGGATTATAGAGTTTTGACTGCCGGTTAACGGCTAATGAGGGAGGGGGACCATAAGAACGTTACAGAGCCTACAGGTAAATTTTATGGTTTACATTATTAGTAGCCAATAAGAAGTGAAAATAACCAAACTTCTTCAGTGTGCGTCTCGTATCTGATTGGTTGAGAGGATGGTGTAACTTTCTGGACCAATTGCAGAGTAAAGTTAAGTGAAACGAAAGTAATCTTAGATTTTTTCGAAAGTCAATTGAAAATTGCTCCATTGACCATGAATAATCAGGAACTGAGTTTTGACGGGCTCCAACTGGTCAATATTTATCACGGGGGTGGGGGTGGGGGGGGGGGAGTCGGAAGACTTGACTCTGTCACGATAAAATTTACTAACCCCCACCGGGGGGCCGGTCCCTTCTCACTGTATTTCGTGCTTCCTTATAGACCCTCCATTGATTGGTAACTACGACGTCAAACGATGCTATATAATTAACGTCATATTCAAGTACCAAATTCCAGGAGGCCTTACGGTCAACACCACCAGAGATGTCACACAGGAGTTTCAAAGACCTTTTCTGACAGCGTACAATCAATATCTTTCTCTTCAACAATGCAAAGAGGTGATTGTCAGAATCGGAAATATAACATCATCTCCACCAGGAGTTAGTCTTGTTTACTTCCGAGTACCACTTACTTTTACAGCATCAAATAACATAGCTGATGATCTTGTGGCTATAAATGTTACAACCTGTGTGAACGCTGCAAATGTCTCCTTAAAAGGACATATAGACCGAAGTGCTCCAAACATAACTCAAAACAAAACCACATACCAAATTAACCAACCATCTTCATTGGAGAAGAAGTCATGCTGTGGTGGAGATAAACCGCCGCCCTGCTGTGCCGTTGGCTCAATCAAGGTTTCAAATACTAGTTGCGGTAAGGATTTTCATTTCTATTTTGAAAGAAATAAACATTCCATCAGTAAAATGATACACACGGTTTGTGCAGCGGTATTTGCACTAAAAGCAAGCGCGGAAAATTCCCAACAGTGTCCTCGTCCCTTCATATCTCTCCTTGACACTGGACAGAATCTTTTTTTTTTTTTTTTTCCTCCAACATTTTACACAAATTGTGTTACTTTTTTTAGGTTGTTTGCCTGGATTTCACTTCGTCACCGGCCGTTCGTGTGTTCCTTGTCCTTCTGACACTTATCAGGATGAACAAGGACAAAAGTCTTGTAAGACTTGTCCAGCTAATACAGTAACATTTGGTAAGACAAGAATGACAAGCAAGGCCAACTGCACAGGTATGGGCAGCAACAAAACTGAGCTAAGGTTCGTTTGACTTTTCATACGCCTTTCCTTTCCTATCAAACATTCGAGATTGCTTCGTTTTCTTTTTAGATACAAATGCTGTGCAAGTTAACGACCAAGTAGTTTTCCTGCCTGAAAACATCAACAACGAAAGATAGTCGCGAATGTTACTTTTACTACAATTCTGACTTCCCTTCCTAACAGTGTCCGCGTCCCTTAATCCCTCTCCTTGAAAAATCCTTTGACACTGGACAGAATCTTTGTGTTTTGTTCTCAAACGTTTCAGACAAATTGTATCACTTTTTCAGGTTGTTTGCCTGGATTTCACTTCGTCACCGGC